GGTGACTCTGGTTCTAGCGCAGTGATGAGAGGCACTGGTATGAGAGTGCTTTGTGGCATGGCTTCTGGGGTTCAAACTCGATCATTACTAGCTGTGTGACCTTGAATTGGTTACTTAACCTCTCTGTGTGTGGCTTTACTCATTTGCACAATGGGAATAGTAATAGCACTCACTTCATAGGGCTTCATGAGGATTAAATGATTAATACATGGAGAGTGCTTACACATATGCCTACCCTATGGTAAGCACTACCAACATTACGTCTTATTGTTGTCACAGTGCCTAGCAATGAGGCTCCTCTTGCTTTAACCCTGGACTCTGTCCAAGGATCAGCTTCTGGAGAGTTCTCTCTAGTAGACTTGGGTAGGGAGCCTGGGTGGCTCCATCGGTTAGTATCCGACTTTGGCTCAGGTCATGATCTCACAGTCTATGGGTTCGAGCCCCGTGTCCGGCTCTGTGCTGACAGCTCAGAGCCTGGAGCCTGCTTCAGATTCTGTGTGTGTCTCTCTCTCTGGCCCTCACCTACTCGCTCTCTGTCTCTGTCTCTCAAAATAAAATAAAAATAAAGAAATAAAACTCTTCTCCCCTATTTAAAAAAAAAAGTAGACTTGGGTAAGAATGAGACCTAAGGAAGTAGCCCAGGGTTTCCATTTGGTTGGACTCTCCCAGGATTTGCCGTTCCCCACCTGCCCTGGGCCTCAACGGGGGTCACATGCAGTGTGTATTTGGGGGGTGGGGCCTGGCTCCCACCCCTCTGGCTGTCCCCCACCACAAGGAGCTGGCATTTCTGGCCTTCCCTCCCCACCCGCCTGGCATGGAGCTGACTCACCGCCAGGAGGGGTGGTGATTAGCATGCAGGGCAGGTACTAAGAGGAAAGCTGTTTCCATGCAACAGCTCTTGATGTGTTTCTCTGATTAATGTGGCAGAGAGAACATTGCAGCTTTTTCCTGAATGGTCGCCACGTGGAGCCGAAGTCATTAGCATCACGTCTCCCGCTTGCCATGACCTGCTGACCACCCTAAGTAGATAAAAATGAAAATGGCCAAGACAGCTGCAAGGCTCGGAAACAAACTGCCTGGTGGCTCTGCAGGGTCTTTTATGCGGCAGGTTTCTGGAACAGCCCCGCCTTCCCCATCCCCTCAAACCCCTGTAAAGCCGTCCTTAAAGTTTCTGCTTCTCTAACTGCTGGTACCCCCGTGAGGGCAGAACCCCTTTCTCGGGAACAGAGCCCTAGTGTGAGCAGTCCCCAGCGCAGGTGTGTGCCCCAGGTGAAAGGAGGTGGGGGAGGGGAAGGACTCCCAGGCAAAGGGGCCAGGCCGGGCAAAGGATGGGAAGGGCTGGAGCACAGAGGGGGATGCGCCGGGCACCGGAGGCGGGTGGGGTGGAGACTGGGGACCCAGCCTTTATCCTGAGGGCATCGGAGAGGTTGTGGGGGGGGGGAGTGTATCTTGCACAGTGTGCAACAGGGCGCTATAAAAGTCCCTCCGTTCCAGCGTGATGGATGTTGGGGGCCCAGCGTGGAAATGGGAGAATGATTAGGAAGCCATTGCCATAATCTAGGCAGGTGATGATTCTGCCTTGAATTAACACCGCACGTTCCTCTGCGACCTTCCTCCAGTCTGGGAGCTGGAGGCTCTATCGGCAGTTTCTGGAGGACAAAATCTGAGACAGCCTCCCAGGGATGGGAGTGACGGTAGGAGGATGTATTGGCTTTTGCCCCAGCTCTGTGGCCTTGGGGTCCAATTGCCACACCATTCTGAGTCATTGGTTTTGGATTTTTGTTTGTTTGTTTGTTTGTTTTCTAAGCTGCCCCTCTCCTTCTCTGGGTCTGTTTCCCCAGCCAGGCTGTGGGGGCAGGGCAAGGAGTTGGAGATGGGCTCCCGGCTCCCTGGGGAGGAGGGTCGAGCCCAGCAAGCGACAGCCCAGGCCGGCTCCACACCCCATCGCCTCGACTCTGCCACCGCCCCCTCTGCCGCCCCCTCCGCCATCAGCCAGCCCCACCACAGCCGCCTGCCAGACCGGGGAACTCAGCCCGGGCTGGAAGGGAATGAGCAATGGCGCTAATTGCAGAGCCGGCAGGAGAGGCCGGGAGGAGGCAGCGGAGAGAGAGAAATCATCTTGCGATGCGCCAATTACTGATCAGCTGGGACATAATTGTGGGGCCGCCATCCCGGCTGCTGGAGGTACCAGGCCTCCCTCTCGTTAATCAACGATAATCCAGAATTACGACCCTTAATGACTTGCAAAGACACTTATGCACACTCGCACACATGCTCTCACACGGACACAAGTAATTGATAATCAACCATGTAATTTGAGGCAATAATTCTGTCCGGGCCAGATGACAGGCTCCACCCCGCCAGCAGAACAGAACCCAAATCACAGCCCGCGGCTGCAATCAGGGCAGCCTCTCTGGGGGAGGGGGGCTCATTCCTGTCACTACAGTGGGTGCCAAGAGGGGCCTCCAGTTGTCTCTAGGCAGTAGGAGTAGAGATATTTTTTGTTTCCCCCTTTTACTTGTCTATATTTTCTAACTTTTGCACAGTATTATCTGTAATGTTTGAAAACCTCATTGCCGCTGTCATCCCTCATTCATGGCCCTAAACCAATGGTCTCCAACTTCAGTGCACATTCACATCACCTAGAGAGATGGTTGAAAATGTGGATTTCCGGGCCCCACTCCAGGAGATTTAGACCAAAAGCTGGTGTGGGACCCGGGAAGTGCATATTTAATAAGTGCCCCAAGCGAGTTGGGTACGCTGACCCACACATCATACTTAAAGAACTAATACTCTCGGCCCTGGCTGCACGTGAAAATCATCCCAGAGCTTTCAGAAGATTCTGATGCCTGGGCTCGACCTCAGTGGGCTCAGCCGGCATCTGTCCTCGTGACCTGTCCTCTTTACCTTGGGAACTGCTACCATGGTTCTCTCAACCTTTAACTTACATATGAACCACTTGGGCATGTGTTAAAAGGCAAGATTCCGGGGTGAGGAGAGGGGCCCTGCGTTCTGAAGCGCATCCCAGGAGATAATGACGGTTGGGGGAAGTCCAACTTTCTCATCCTTTGCTCCAGGCCCAAGCATGTGAACTCAGCTGCCAGAAAGTTCTGTTTATGAAGCTCTTCCTCTAGGAAAGGCCCTGTGCTGGGGCTGCAGAGGTGAATCTGCCCCAGTTTTGTTCAGGCGGTGGACTGCCTGCGTGCGAGTCACATGTTAGGTTCTTCTAGGTTCCTGAGAACAAGACAGGCTTAGGCTGATCTGCAGACCATGTGACTCTTGATCTCAGGGTTGTGAGTTCGAGCCCCATGTTGGGCATAGAGCTTACTTTTTGCAAAGGTAGCAGGGAGCACCTGTGTGGCTCAGTTGGTCAAGCGTCAGACTTCGGCTCAGGTCGTGATGAGTTAAAGCTCCCCATCAAGCTCTCTGTGGTCAGCATGGGGCTGCTTTGGATCCTCTGTCACCCCCCCATCTTCCCCCACTCTCTCTCTCAAAAATAAACATCAAAAAATCATTTTTAATAAAAAAAAGAGACAAGTTTAAGCTAACTTAGGTGTTGGGGCCCTAGGAAGTAAGAAAAATTGGTGCCTGCCCTCCTGAAAACAAGATACAATAAATTCTTGCAAAGCGAGGCACAGACCGGGAAGATGTCATTGGGCAGGAGGGCCTGGTAAGACAAAACACGGGCATGTGCTTTGTATCGGGGTCTAGCAGGCTTTGTAAGAGTGTCCTGGGTCAGGCCCAGGGGCCGGGGAGAAAGGCCGCGAGGAGGCTGGGGATGGCAATCAGTGTCCCACGATGGCCCCAAACAGCTCCTGTTCTGATTTGTGCACTTTGCCACACCCTTCCGGAGGAGAAATCTGTTTCCCCTCCTCCTGAATCTGGGCTGATGCTGTGACTTGCTCTGACCAGCAGCACATGGTAGGGGGGACACTGTGCCAGCCCCACAGCTAGCCCCTACGTAGCCTGGCCGAAGCCGATTTCATTCCTTCAGAAGCCCGCTGCCATGTGGGAAATCCAGCTACCCTGAAGCCACCATACTGGCCACATGAACAGGCCACGTGGAGGAGGGCTGAGGTGTCAGGCGAGTGAATGAAGCCTTCTCCGTCCCTCCCTCCCACCAGCAGCCAGCTGAAGGCAAGTGATCTACCCCTGGTAACTCAGGAACCGACCGCCCAGCCAGGCCCTTGCCTAAATTCCTGACTCCCCAAATCATGAGAAAGAATAAACTAACTCTGCTAGCTGATCATTACACAGCCATAGCTTACTGAAACACTTGGGGTCTCGGCTCAGTTCAGACACTCGGAGGCGAGATCAGCAAGCTTGCCAGGCCTGTTTTCTGGTCTGCAAGGTGGCGGGTAGGTGAGATCATGCATCCAGATCCCTGTGCACGGGGCCAGGCACACTGCTCGTGCTCACACCGAGAACGCATGATTGTTAAGCGAGGTGGTGACTAGGTTCCCATACCAGGCTCCACCCTGACTCAATGACGGCCACGCGGATCATATTGTCCCAGGTCCTCGCCTGGATGGCCATCATTCTCCTCTAATGGGAATGGCCTGTCACCAGGGTGATACCCTGGCTAAGAACAGTGGCTTCTGAGCCAGACAAGCAGAGACACAAGCCCTTCTCTGCCAGCTTCTAGATTTGTGACCTCTCCCAAGTTATTTAAAGTCCTTGAGCCTTAGTCTCTTCACCTGAAAAGAGAGGCAGTCAGACCAGCTCCTTCTCTGGGAAGCCTACCCTGATGAACCTCTCCCCACTCCTTTTCTCTAAATAGAGCGTTGCCATGTCCTGCTTATAAGACAGGCACTAATTTTTGAACTTTCACAAGACGGCTGAAATGAACTATATTGGGTGGAAAGAGGGTGTGGTAGACCCTTGATCATACTTTATTAATAAATATCGATCCTCTTTATTGAGTCCAAGAGTTTGCTACGTGATTTGCGTGCACTGCCACAGTATGCCTGTAAAGGAAGTCCTGTTACCACTGCTCTTACCTGAGAAGTTGGGTGGGGTCTTGAAGAGGACACCGTAATTCACTTCTGTGTCAGTTGTGTTGGTGTGTGTGGACACTGTTCTTTCTCCCTACGTACCTAGTGACAAAATATGCAAGGGAAATATGTGTACAAATCAAAATGGATGATTTCTCATCTAACTCAACCCCCACGCACCCTACCTTCGGAGTACGTCCAGCCGTGGACACCTTCTCACCAACTTCGTCACCATCACCCTGGTCCCAGCCATCATTCCCTTGCCTACATCCCTCCTATAGCCTGGTTCCCCTTCTCTCCCACCCACACTGCCTACAGAATGAGCCTGTTCAAGTGCAAGACGGATGATGTCACTTGTCTGCTCAAAACCCTGCATGGCTCCAGCTCACTCCGGATAAACACCAGTGTCCTCCTGATGGCCCTCAAAGCCTGACACCACTTCCTCATTCTCTCTCTGACATATGTCCTACTCTTCTCCCTTGTTGTCTCCAGGGCAGCCTCTCTGTCAACAGGCATATTCTTGCCTCAGTGCCTTTGCACCTGCCATTTCCTCTGTCTGGGACCCTCTTCTATCGGTTAACTACATGCTTCACTCCCCCTCTTTCTGTAGATCTTTACTTAAATGTCATCATCTTTTTTTTAATGGTTTTTTTTCTATGTTTTATTTATTTCTGAGAGAGAGAGACAGCATGAGCACAGGTAGGTCAGAGAGAGAGGGAGATACAGAATCTAAAACAGTCTCCAGGCTCTGAGCTAGCTGTAAGCGCAGAGCCTGACATGGGGCTTGAACCCACAAACCATGAGATCATGACCTGAGCTGAAGTCGGACACTTAACTGACTGAGCCACCCAGGCGCCCCTAAGTGTCACCTTCTTAACACAACACTCCCTGACCGCATTATTAAAAACTGACCCCCGTCCTGGGATACACAAAACCCTCGTCTACTTTGGCTTTCCCCATAGCACATGCTATCATCAAACATGTTTATGCCACTTGTATATTTACTTTTCTATCCCATGCCCCCATCACACATGCACACACACAACCAGGCATGTAAACCCCCAAAGGGCAAGGATTTGCGTCTGTTTTGTTTACTGCTATTGTCCCAATACCTGGCAATCAATAGCTCAATAAAACTTTGTTATGTGAATGAATGCAAAGGCACATCAACACATCCTCAAAAAGTAAACCAGACCCAATCTAGGTTGTGTTATTACAGGTGTTAAAGCATCTCTCTAGCGTGGAGAGTTTCCAGTGCTCACCTATGGTTTGTGTGTGCGTGCATGCACACGTGTGTGTGTGTGCACATGTACACGTGTGCAGGAAAGGCCAATGGCAGTGGAAATCACTGGTTGTGGTAATGATAGGAGTTGCCCATAAAAATCCACGGAGAACGTATTTCCCACCCTTGTCAAGCCCTAGCAGCCATTCCAAGGGACAGGGATTGCCTGCTAGTCTGGGAGAGAACAGGTAGCCAGGAGGGCAAGTAGCCCTCACCCGGCTGACCCCGTAAGGCTAAGCAGTCCAATTAATTCAAAGAGGAATAGCCAGGCGTGGCCTGGAATGTGCAGTGTGGGGATTTGCATGTCAGATTCCCTGTTTGCACAGTTCTGCCACGTCCACTCTCATGAGCTCACGGGAGAGGTTTGGGCTCCGCCATTCATCTGCATCGGAAGGGCCTGGAGCCCAGGCTGAGCCCGGGTACTGGTGGATGGGAGAGCCTGGGGAGCCTGGCATGCCCCAAGCACACGACAGGGTCCCTTCTGGATGAACCAAATGAGTGCCAGCCCAGGTTCAAAGGGATGAGGTTTCTGTAGGGGAGACATGACTGTGTGTGTGGCCTTCCACTCCCCTAAGTGACAGCGTCTCTCCCCTCTGGCGTGGGGGGAGGGTAAAGAAGACTTCTGTGTCACAGATAAGGACACTGAAGCTCAGACGGATTATGCGCCTTGTCTGAGGTCATTCCACACACTACCCGTCCGAGATGCAAAGGAACTTTGCAACTGCCGTATCCGACACAGATGGTTCCTGGGGTGGTTTTCAAGCTTGAGCCCAAGCCTGCCTGGTTGACCCCAAGATTAGTCAGCTCCGAAAACCTAGTTTGCCTGTCACTCATTTTGTATCCCTCTGAAATCCCGGCTGGTAACACCTGGGGCATGCTCTGTGAATATTGGATCAATACACAGGGCAGCAGCCGGTTGTGCTAACAAGAACCCCCTGCATCACCCCCAAACTCCCTGAGCCCACGGGCCTGCGCCTTTTCTCCCTGCCAGCAGGGGGCGTTGCACACATTGTTTCCAGTGGGCTTCCCACCAACCTCTCCAGGTGCCCTGCCCATTCCCCTTTCCTGTGATTGAGCCATATAGGGGCCTATATGAACCAGCCTGTTTCATACCCAGAGCCTTCACATTGTGTGGCCTTCCCCAGCAGGCAGCCCTCTGGCAATGCCTGGGACTAATATTTATTTACTGACTGGTTCCTTCACCGGACACCGTGCTGGGCGCTTGACAAGCATGATCTCATTTCATCATGAAGCTCCTGCAATGATCAATTTTAGAAGCGAAAATATTGGGGCGCCTAGCTGACTCAGTCGGTTGGGCGTCCGACTTCGGCTCAGGTCATGATCTGCGGTTCGTGGGTTCGAGCCCCGCATCGGGCTCTTTGCTGACAGCTAGCTCAGAGCCTGAAGCCTGTTTTCGGATTCTGTGTCTCCCTCTGTCTCTAGCCCTCCCCTGTTCATGCTGTCTCTCTCTCTCTCTCTCTCTCAAAAAAAAGTAAAACATTAAAAAGAAAATTTAAAAAAAAGAAGTGAAAATACTAAGGTACTAGTTTTACCTCATCTTTACAAACAATAATACTTTGGTTTGAAGCTGGTAAATAGCTCATGATCCCTACCCTTGAGGCCTCTCCTTTCTGCTCCCAGGTGGTAGACTTGGGCAGTGGGGTGGGGGCGGGGGGACTGGCTGAGGCCTGAGCCTCCCTGGAGGCAGCTGGATTGGAAAGAATGCTTCTCAGAAGAGGAATTGATTTTGCTCCAGTTGTGCTGGGTTCTTGCCTCCTTGGGGTTTGCTCCTCAGAGCCCTGGGTGGGCCCCTTGAACAGGCTTGCACCCCCATGGTGCCCTCAGGGGCACCCAGGGACATTTCCTCCTGGCATCAATTCCAGCCCCCTGGCAAACACTGAGGAGTGTCCTGGGTGGACACTGGTGGTGGCTGGGAGAAGGCTAGCCCCATGGAGGGGAGACGGCATCACAGCAGACGCGGCTAGGTAGCCCCTTTGCTATTCTACACGCCTACCCAGACAGGAGAGGACGCCGACCCCAGCTCACCTGGCTAGTGACAGCAGAGCCAGGGCTGGAACCCAGGTTCTGAGCTGCCAGGCTTTCTTCAAGTTTTAGCTGATCCCGTTCTCCAGGGCCCGGAATGGCCCCCTTCCCACCATCAAACTTCCCATCCCAGCCTGGCCATATTCCACATCAATTCCTGCCCACCCTGCTCAAGGCCCAGGCTTCTGCCCTCTCTCCGCAGGCGCACTCTCGCTGTGTCAGAACCAGTTGCTCTCTTTGCCTAGCCCATAACACAGGCCTCCCAACCCAGGCTGACTTGCCTCATCTCCCTGGCCGATCTTGGAGAGAGGTGCCGATGGGCAGAGCCGTACACTAGACCGGGCACAGGGCCAGGAGCTCAGACACCTGCATGTGAACTTGGATGGGCCACTGACTGGCAGAGTGGCTCAGGGAGGTCAGGGCCTCCGTTGGCCCTGGGGTCTAGTTCAGTGCTTTTCACACTCTGTCCGTAGGGTCTGCCCCAGCCAGGGTGAATCCTGCCCCGGCTTTTGGATTCAGCAGCTTTTCTCTTTTTCTTTCTGAGGGGAAGATTCTGAGGTGGGGAAAATGGTTTGAAGACCATTTTGAGGTCCTTTCTATTTTTTTTAATGTTTTGTTTTGTTTTGTTTTCTGAGAGCGAGAGCGAAGAGAGAGAGAGAGAGAGAGAGAGAGAGATACAGCGTGAGTAGGGGAGGGTCAGAGAGAGAGGGAGATACAGAATCTGAAGCAGGCTTCAGGCTCTGAACTGGCTGTCAGCACAGAGCCCGACGCGGGGCTCAAACCCACGGACCGTGAGATCATGACCTGAGCCGAAGTCGGATGCTCAACCGACTGAGCCACCCAGGTGCCCCTTTGAGACCCTTTCTAATCCTGTTAATTTCTGTATTTCGCTCACCCCCCAGTTGCTAGCAGGAATCCGGCATCCTACACAGAGCGTTCACAGTAAACATGTGGTGGATGGAACTGAATGGCTGTGCTGGGAAGCAGAGGGGCGCTAAGCCAGGCTGGGCAGGGAAGGGGCACGCAAGCAGGAAGTAAGTGGCCAGAAGGCAGCTGGAAGGAAAGGGGGCCTGGAACAGGCTTCTAAGGTGAAGGTGGCCTTTGAAAAGTGGCTGAGGCTGCCCTGAGCCTGTGGTTTCTGCTCTCTTCCTCCTCCAGGTTCCCTCCTGGCTTGCCCCTTAAGAGTGCCACCACCTCCCGCTGGGGCCTCAGTGTCATTGCTCAAATCCTGCCCACCCCCTGCTGCCAGGGCCGCCCACGCAGCGGGGTGGACACCCATCTGGCAGACACTGGTGTGGCTGAGCTCTCCCAGAAGGAGGTTCCAAAGGGCCACGGGGGTTGGCACGGAACAGAACCCTGTGGCCTGGTCAGCAGGGCAAAGGCCAGGTGGGCCGCTGTCGCCTGGGCCTCCGAAGGCAGCCCTTCCCGAAGCTGTGGAGGCCTGCGAGGCTTCCCCGGGCACGCCAGGAAGGGGCTGGATTTCGTGTGCCTTTGTCGGATGCAGTCTGTGCTTTCCGTTGTGTGGGTATGTTAGTGCTGCTTCCAGATCTTGGCTCCTGCTGGAGCTACAAATTACACTCTAGCCTCCATCCTGCAGCAGCGCTTTCATGCCCCAGGGTAACAGGGACCACCCCGATCGCGCCAGTGTGGCCACCCACAATTAGAAAAGCCTGTGTCGTGCATGGTTTAACTCTGACCGGGGTAAGCACAGGCCCGAGAAGCACAAAGGGGAACCACAGTGACAGCCCCAAGAAGCGCCATCAGGATACTTCCTAACATAATGTTTGAATTTCATCATCATTGCCATGTTCCTCCAGCGCCCGCCCACCTCAGAACTGCTCTCCACTCTGTACCATCTGCCAAGTTCTCGGGCCGCCATCACAGTCATTCACGCGTTCACCTCAGAATGTCTCAGCGAGAGGGTCTTTAACGTTTTTTAAGAACGTACTGTGTGCGGGGCATTTTCTAACCTTCAGGTAC